ATATATATATATATATATATATATATATATATATATATATATATATATATATATATATATATATATATATATATATATATACATATATATATATATATATATATATATAGGAAGCTTGTAAATTGCTTAGTACTTTTGCAATAGAATTAATGAATTTAAAATACTTCTGTTTTTTTCTGCAAATAGGATTGATGAATAAATTTAAAATATTTTCATCGAAAGGAAAAGCTGAAAATTGATATTTTTTGCTAATTAATTTTTTAGATTAAATTTTTTTATGGCTAATTAATATTTTTTTTCTTTTTACAGAAATTAATTTTTAATTATTCAGCTTTTATGAGTCGATGGTTTGATAACAGAAACAAAAAATGGGTAGTAAAAGTGGCAGTGATTTTTAGTTCAGTTTGTCAATATGGTCCTTTATAAAATTAAAAAAATACAAAACATGTTAAATAAATCATCAATTTTGCTAAATAGAATTTTTGGTGCAAAAGTTGAGATCAAAGAACAACCAGATGAAAATATTGCATGATATCATAAAGTTGAAATTTCTCACTTCATTCAAATTATTTATCAGTAAAAGTAACAAAAATGAATATGAGACTATCATTTGGTTCGTTATGTTCTTTAAAAAGAGAGAGAGAGAGAGAGAGAGAGAGAGGAGGGAGGGAGGGAGAGAGACAGTAAATGTCTCATACTGACTATTTTGTTAAAAATAATCAAACGGTGTATCATGAAAAATATCTTTCACAACAGCTACTGGTATCACAAATTCAAGTAAATATTTATGTGGAGGGATATAACAATCGAATGGAATAGAAGAGATCAAAGGGAACGATCAAAGGATAGCCGATCTAATTTTTCCATCAATTTCTAATCAAAAAAAATCAGTAAACAAGAGGAATTAATTTCGTTGCAACAATTAAGGAGTACTGATTGGTGAACCGGTTTGTTTACTAGCAGTAAACACTAAAACGGAAAATTTTCGTAATTTAATCAGATATTCTTACCATATGCCAGAAAGTAATAAATAATCAACATACCATTTAAACAACAGCTCGTTTTGGTTCATCGTTATCAGAATCACTAAATGGTACATTACCTGGCTGGACTCGTATCACCTGTATCACTGGTCGTAACCGATTACGTGCATAAATTACCGTTGGTGCATTGTTATCGCTACTTGGTACTCGACTATGTGATATAATATTATTACCATGATAGCCAACGATGACAGGTGATGTTATCCAACCATAAGCACCTGGTAAACGTGGTCCATAGATACTACCTAGAATAACAAAAGCAGTGTTCTGTTGATTCTCCTGATGATGCTATTGATATTTGCCTTTATGCGCAAAAGTTTCTATAAGTAACGAGCGCTAAATGCACTCTTTCTGATGAAAATGCAATACAAGTTATAAAATAAATAAGTAATTAATTTTGAAATTTGATGAAGTGAAAGAGGGGAATTTAAATTTAAAAAGTGCCAAAAACACAAATATTAAATTCGAAAATTTTTTTATTCCACGATTTGTTAAATCGGATTCTTCCTTTCCAGTAAATTTTCGTTTTTGAATAGAAGTTTTTTTGAGTTTTCGTGTAAAAGAGTTTTTTTGTATAAATAAAATACCTTACTCATAAAATGGGAAATTGTGTGCAGAACTGGTAGATGGTGATGGTATATCATCGATTGATGTATAGTAAACAGATGGAGGAGCATCGCCAGCTACACTAAAATCACTTCATGCCGGATGAGCCGGATGATACGGACTTGAGTAATGTTCCGGTGAACGTAATGATGCTGTCAGCATGTCAATTAACAGAAGTCTTCGTTGACGCACTGCAGTTGGCATTGGTTCATCATCATTTGTAAGCATTTATGGTGACGGTATACCTAGGAAAAATGAGGTCATAGATATCATATAATATCATTATCATTAGGAACAAACTTGATACTAAACTTATAATTTATTTAAAGATTTCACTTCTAAAAAAAGACAATTACTAATTAATTCACCTGAATAGACCTGCTGATTCATATGAGTTCCACGTAAAAGAATTAGAAGGACAAAGAGAAGAAGAAGCAGATGATGATAAGATATCATCATACAATTCGACAAATATCAAAGGCAACACATACACACACAAAGATTAAAGGGGTTTAATTAGATAAAGTTAAATTAATTATTTGATAAATTGTAAATTCCAATAAAATTTCATTTATAAAAAAACCATTAAATATGACAATACTTGTTCTAATTTAATCAAAGCAAAAAACAAAAACAAAAGTGAACAAGCAAATGAATACATACAATCCAACGATGAAAATATAAATAATGAGAAATTGCATTCAGATATCCTACTATAATCACAAAACTCGAATAGTATCACCTGCTACACCTGTCCCGATGATACTATCTTTCCTTCCAAAAGACAAAATGGAAGATATTTTCGGAAAGTAAAAAGACTGAACTGACGTTATATCATACGATAGTCAGATAAACACATTAACAAAGTTAAAGTAATTTGCGTTATCAAAAAAATTCCACTCATGTTGGATTAAACAAAACATTTTGATAATTATTATCATAAGTATCCAGATGATACGGTATGTGATTGTGATCATATGGCGATCATAGGCGTATGATTGTAATCATTCTTCCGAAATACGCATAGCATAATTATTCAGCAATCTAGTATATTTATCTTTCATTTGACAATACAAATATGATATAAGTCTAGAAGGTATCTTCTGATACATACATATCATTTATCACATTACATCATATTATTCAATTATTTATTTTAATCTATTCATTAGTAAAAGTTCAAGATCATTTTTCTTTCTTGAAATATTTTCTAAAAAAAAGCATTGTAATACGACAACAAATGATGAAAAAAAGTAATATGAATAAAATAAATATTAAAAAAATAAATAAAATTTGTGATCTTTAAGAAAGAAATGTAAATTTCAAAATTAGATTAAAATTTGCTAATAATGAATAGAAAACAAAAATAAAATCTAAAGAACAAGAAGAAAATGAAACAAAATAAATTTCTTTCCCTTTTTTTTTTATCCTTTAACAGTAAATCGATTTTTTAAACCCTAAGTTTGTCATAATCTAATTACCTGATGAATCGAGATAGGGCAGCTTTTTGAATTGCTGGAATATTCCTTTTCTTGTTATCCATTTCACCTTTCCGGAACGATCATGCCACACCTGCAGTTATCGATTTGAGAAACAGAATTTAGGCTCGTTTTATGCTCCATACCTGTACATTTTACTCGTCATGAAGTTTTGATTCAATTTTAATCGAATTTGTTTGGAAAATTCCCTATTCAACTAAATTTAATAAAAATTTTCATTTATAAATTGTATCACGAAATAACTATTTATTTTCTCTCTAATCCATCTGAAAATTATCATTTTGCTATTACTATCATACTATCATCCTTAGATTAAAAGGGAATTCTTACTCTTTCAAACATCTTCCCGAATTTTACAAAAAAATATTCCGGAATGATTTGACAATTAACAATTGCTGAAGTTAAAGGGAAATTAAAATATTTGGAAATGATTTCTACGCTGAATGAGCAGATCCAATAATTGCGCTTTATCAACCGGAAAAGTTGAACTGCAGAGATAACATTGGCCATCATTTACTGTTCCATCGTTACTGAGTAAATTCAATAAGCGACCGGATTTTGTGTTGAATGACATGATAATGACTATGATAAAATTTTTAAAACAAAAAAAAAAAAGTATTCGTCAAACGTAAAAATGAATTCCTATTATTAATGATCCAAAATCAATTATCTATAAATTGAATAATTTTAACTAAAGATATGTTATTTTGAGAAATAACTACCAAAACAGCATGATAATACTATAGTACTGTTGGAATAAATTAATTGGAAATTATATCATAAATGAATTATCCAAACTTACAAAACTACTATCACCATCATGATTGGAATACATATATATTCATAGAGAAAAGGTCATTCAGGAAAATTCTATCACTCCATTCAATAACATCCTTATGGGAATTGCTAAAAAGAGGAATAAAACATTGTTATTTGTATGAATATTAAACTTAAAAATTTTTTATTTAAATTGATAATAAACAATTAGAGAGTTCATAAAATTATTAAATTAGACCGAAAAAATAATGACAACTAATTAATTGCTAAGGAATATTTTATGAAAAAGAGAAAAAAAATTACCACAATAATTATCTAATCATTCATTCATTGATCAGTGCACGTTGTGCAATTGCGCTTTTTGTATCATTGCGCTTTTTTGCCTATTTCATTTGACCATCAAATTTAAACTAAATGTTTTGATATGCTTATCTTTAGCAGCTATTTTGGCACATACTCTCTTCCACATTGAAATAATTATTGAATTTTAAAGATTTTAAAATTAGAATGCAACAATGTGGAAATAATGCCACAATCAACTGAACTACTCGCAAAGCGGTCATTGGTGACGTGTGATACATGTGAATATGTGTATTGTAACGTGTGACACATGTGAATATGTGAACACGTGTGTCACACGCCACCAATGACCGTTTTGGATCAGTGGCAAATAATACCAGTTAAGAGAAGCAAAAAGTGGGAGACAATTACAACACCGTTAGGAAATTCGAGTAAAAAAGTTAATAATGAATAGATGGCAATTATTTCCTGTCAACAGCCTATAAAATGCCGAATCTAATAGATCTTGATCTTATTTTTCCTTCCGTATTCCTCCGGAATTTCTCCAAAGAATGGGAGACTAGATTCAGAAACTCCACGGCGATTCTATGATATAAGAGAGATTGCATCCAGAAACCTTAACCTTGTTCTTTACCTTTTACCTGTAATTATTAAAGTAGAACTATTCGATGGTTTTAAGATAATCAATTGAAATATTTTCGTCTAATATTAGGAAACAACGAAACAACAGATAAAACTTACTCCCTACATTTGAGGTAAAATTGAAAATATAACTTCTAGGAAAGAGAAACTTCGGCTTCCAGACGAACGATTCAACTTGTTTAACAAACTATCTCGTAGAATCATTAATCAATTAATAAACTGATCAACTGATCAATCCTCCTTGGTATGTCTATAAGCAGAAAGTCTATGGAAGAAATACCATATCTGAATAAGAGTGAAAGATTTAGTACAAGTAATATGAATAAAACATAAGTAATCAATGTCACCTAATTCAGTCTATGAATATATGGCTATTGTCTTACCCAAACAATAACCAGAGATCTTACCTTCAATTCAGACTTAAATACTAACCCATGCAGAAGGTTAAATTGTAACAATATTCAAACCATATAACGTCAATCAAAGTGGCGCAAAAAGTGACTACTGATCCCATAAATGAACCAATGGAGATAAGTTCACCAGATGATGAAATTTCAGAATTGTCATCAGATCACTTATACCATATCAAATAAGCTAATTTTTTGACTGAAACAAACATTGACTTCCAAAATAGCCAAGAATATCAATCCAGAAATTTGAAGTCAACGAATCAAAATCGAATCAAAATCGCAGCTTCTAAATTTTAATTCACATTTTATTTTATTGTCACCTCACCTTTTATCATTGTCATCATTACTTTGAAAATAACATAAAACGAAGTTTCCTTTTTTCTGCCGGTATTGAAAGGCCCAAAAGGCACTGAACGGTTCAAAAGAAATTTAATGAAAATTGAAGAAACACATATTATTAGTATAGTTTTACTGCGCTCTTTACTACTCACAATAAATATTATCCAAATATTTTTATTTCCCGAATTTTCTCGAATACTTTCAGAGAAGTTTGTGAAGTCAATTGACCCCAAAAATAAAATACTTTTATATCCTGAACTGTCTCAAAGCTATTCTGAAAAATTTCGCTAGCTAAATAATTCCAACAAAAATAAAACATTTTTTATTTCTCTATATTTATTTTTCTATTTGTGAATTTAAATTTGGTCCAACTCATTCAAATTTAAATTTCAAATAAAGTGGTTGCAATTTTCGACTAAAATGTATCGTTTTGAATGATAAATCTTCAAAAATTCTTTGAGAAATATCGGAAAAAAATTTTTTTGTCCAGAATTACTCAGTTGACCAATTATGAATTACTCAGTTGACCAATTATTTAATGGAAAAGACTGGAAATGAAGGAATGAAAAAAAAAGATTGAGAATGAAATGGAATAAAACTCGCATACTTTCTCTAATGGCTTTTAGTTCTTTTTAAACTTTCATAAATTCCTTATTTACTCCTTTTTTTAAAACTTTTTTTCCTCATTTTCATGAAACAAACAAAATAAAAAGAAAAATTGTAATATATTCTGAAATTGGAAAAATTACATTAAAGAAAACTTTTTGATTTAATATAAAACTTATCAAAAAATTGCAGATTTTTGTTAAGATTTAAAAATAAAGCAATGAGAAAAAATTGGCAATAATAGCTTAATGAAATTTGAATAAAATTGCGAATCTCAAGATTGTTATGTTTTGAATCTCGAGAAAAAAAATTTTAAGAATCTCTGA